TTCATATTTTACTCTTTCACCTAACACTATCACAGGAAATAATGAACTATGGCCCAACTAGGACATGAGAGAAGCCCAAAAAAGGGATGAAATAAAACGTATTAACATAGTTAAGGGTGATATTCGTTTGCTTCTTTTTTTTTGGAGCAAATTACATTTAGACCCTCTGATTTATACCCCTTGTTTTCACATTACCCCCTAATTTCTTAAATTTCTCATATTTCACCTTAAACTATTAGCTTTAGTTTCACATTGTCTCAATTGTTGACTGTTGTCCAATTTTTTTTTATACAAAATCAGGCAAAAATAGAATTCTACCCTGTTGAGGAGATGGACAGAGTTCTATTGTTGTTTAGTTTTCCATAAAAAAAGTTTGACAACAATCAACAATTGAGGCAATTTGATATTCAAACCAATAGTTTAACATGGGATGTGAGAAAGCAGATAGGTTATGCAAAATTTGTGAAATGTGAAACTAGGGGCATAGTTCAAGGGGTACTCATTTGCCCTTTTGTTCCCAATAACTAAGTATTGCTAGTTTAACAAACAAATAGCTTTCTGGTTTTTCTTTGCGACGTTATCACAGTACTAGCTTCCCCTTTGAACATAGTAAGAATGAGGGAAGAGAAGTATATCCTATGTGTTTTCAAGAAAAAATTCATTTGGAAATTGTTATGCCTAACTAATTAGTAACCATGCTCCTTCTATTTACCTTTTCAATTGTTTATAGTAATATTTTTGAAAAAAAAAAATATATATATATATAATTTTTTTTCATTTTTTGTAACAGCGGACCGTTCTATCCACTTGTTTACAATTCAAATTTTGGATGCATGGAATAACCACAAACCAAGTGCATATAGCATAAACAAGCACTTGAATTAGGACCTCAAAGTATTTGTTAGGAATAAACTCTTCTTACTCAAGATTGTGTATGCGATAATAGCAAAGCGTAATCTTATTTAGATTTAAAATTTTGAACTAATTTGCTGACATAATGATGTGATTTCATTGAAACCATTGAATTAATATCAAATTTCAATATTTGATAAAACTCACAGTTACTTCAAAGGTCATAGTGAATTAGATCAGCAAATTAGGTCAATAAATTAGTTCCCCTCAATAGCAAAACAACAAAAAAAGCCACATACACAAGAGCACAAAGATTTGCATGAAAACGTGAAGGTCGGGAAATAAACTGCGGAACCACACTAAGTGCACTTTCAAATTCTCAAACTATAAGGAGAACTATCGAAGAGGCTGCCCACATGTTTGTTATATAGCATTAGAGCTATAAAATAAATGCGAGGACATTACAAAGGAACTTTTTACAAAACACTTCTAAAAAATTGCTTCCTCACACCATTACACTCCTAAGGCCTTTTCATTTGAGTGACCCCGGCTTGTAATTTAACACTTTTTAGCTGCACCAATTTATAAGAGTAAATTCAAACAACCATGTCAGTCTATTTGATTTAAAGCTTAAGATTCATGACCAGCTAACAACAACCCCCACCACCTTGAAAGCTTGAAAATGAACTTTGCACTTTGGATCCTTGAACTTGCCCATGTTTAGTTACTATCTATCTGTCCCAACTACAGCTAATGTATGTGTGACCGTCAATTTAAATTGAAAATATGACTCTAACTCTATGGGTCCTACTAGTCATCCTCCTCCTTGTTCATGCATACTCCAAAAGTTCCACTATTGAAAATAGTATCTCTCAGTTTTTAGATATTTTAATGTGCTCCTTCATATTTTGATACCATGTTCAACCACCAACTCATATAAAAGTTTAAATGTAAGTGGTAGTGTAATTTAAATACTTATATATTTCAAGACCTTTAGATTCATGGTTATTATACAAGTTTCATAACTTATCTATTAACCTGGTGTATTAGATAAACCGACAACTTGAACTTGAAATTTCGATGAATTCTAGTTTTACTATTTTTAGTTGTATTGATCGATTAGAATAAACAGAGGCCAATATAACAATTGTGTTTGATCTAAAACTTGATTTTCTGCCGTTTTTGCAATAACGATTAATGGCTAGATAGCAACCCCATAACCATCAAAGCTTGAAAATGAACTTCGTACTTTGGATCCTTGAACTTGGCCATATAAGTTCCTAGCTATCTGTCTCCACTTAACCGAATGTAGCAAACAACCCTATCCAATTTCTTAATCTATGGGCCCCACTGTTCCTCTTCATCCTCCTTGTTCATGCATGCTCCAAGAAACGAGCAAGAATTGGTCAAAAGGGAGTCAAAGTGAAAGATTGGGTGGAAAGAGAAACGAAAGTGGCTTTGAAGGTTCATGAGCTCGTATCATTTAGAGACAGTTGGTGAACCCACATTGCCCATCCTCTTTTGGGCATGCTCTGGCCCATTCAAGCTGTCCTCTTCCCTTGCAATCCTATCGATGCAATGCATCTACCTAGTTCTCTTTCATAAACAAAATCTAAACAGATCTTCACTCCAACTTTCTCCTCTCAATCATTCCCATTATGAATTGGCAACATCCATTAGATCTATTTGTACATGAATTTGTGGGATCCATTTGCTTTGTTGCGGGTGAGATTGTTAATGGCCCTACATTGTTAGGAGGTACTAGTTGCTTAATCTACTTAGTTGATTGTTTATTTGCCCTTGATTAATGGTTAGTGGAGATTGTGTTATAAAGGTCGTTGTATGATATAATGGTGAAAGTATCGATCTAACAGTCATGAGATCGTGGATTTGAATATAATGTTAGTCACTTTGTGTCAAAATGTCGAATAGTAGCTTTTATATCCACTTCACCCTCTCGTGTTTATTGATTAATAGGAATCAAATTAAGTGACACTTTTATATATTTCAGAGAAGATATAACCATTAATTTTCAAAGCTCCGCATAGGAATGCATGACTGATGCAAAACTAAGGCCCATCTAAAAGTATTTTTTTTATAAGAAAATGCATCATAGCCTTAGAAAAACAATTGCTCATTAAACACTTCAGTGATTTTTGTATTATTGAAGGTACTTTTCAATATTCTAAAATCTTGTAGTGTAGGGTCAAACCCAGAACATGTTTCGCTTTATAAAATACAGACAATATACAATTTATATGATAAAGTACAATATAATTTAAATTTTAAAAAATAAACAAAAAAAATTTTATTTTTCATTGTTAAAGTCTCTTTAAATTTTACTTAAAAGTTAATCCGACAGTTAATATTAACTCCCAAATTTAATAGGAAAAATAAATTTCCAAAGAATGTGTTTGATATAACTTTTCAAACTTCTCATAAGCACTTAAAAAATAAAAAATAATGTTTGGAATCGTCTCACCATACCACCACCACCACCACCACCATTACCACCACCACCCTACCACCATCACCACTATCACCATTACCGCCACCACCACTGTCACTCCATCACCACCTCTACTTCAATCACCATTACCACCATCACCACTGCCACCGCCACCACGACAACAACTACACCACTACTACAACTGCTGCCACCACTCCACGCCATCGTCGTCACCACCACCACCGCCTTACCACCCTCACTACCGCCACCACCACTGTTACCGCCACCCCACCACCATCACCGTTATCATCACCACCGCAGTCACCCCACCACCGCCACCGCCATCAACATCACCACCGTCGTTACCCATTATCAATTACTATCATTGTTGTCCACTATCACTACCCACCACTATTATTATTTCATTCTTATATTTATTACAACTACCACAATTATCCCACCATCACGGTTGCCCACCGCCACCCATTACCATAATCCACCACCACCAATTGCCCACCACCACAATCCACCACCGTCGCCGCCTTGCCATCATGGTGGCCCACTACCATCGTCGTCACCCATGACTACCACTACCATCATCATCACCCATAATCCACCATTACCATCACTGTTGGCACCAATGACTGCCACCACCATTACAATTAATACTTAATTTTTTTTTGTTCTTTATGTTTGTGATTTGATTTTGGGTGTGAATACAAATATGGTTATGATTAATAATTTTTTTTATTACTCCATACTTTCAGGCACGAATAATAACTAATGAATTAATATGCTGTCATGAGATTTTCCAATGAAAGAAGTCTAGCAAAAATTTCAAAAAAAGGTAGTCCATTACACGAGGCTCCTTTCATTGTGGTCAAATTTGCATGGTCTTCCCTCCGCATGCGGAGGAGCAGTTTGTGGTTTCACTAGTATGTAAACAGTTACTTTCGATCCTCACAAGAATTACCAATTAGCTTTCTGCTATTTTTCTGTTGGCAAATGACAGTCCTCTAGACAAATAGGGGGGGGGGGGGAGGGGAGGGGGACATGAACCCTTGAGCTCAAGAAAATAAAGCGTTCACAAACGCAAAAAGTACCATTGGACTCTACACATATAATATAAAGAAACAGCTTAGATTAAGTTTAATCAGTGTTAATCAGAGTGCAAAGGAAGACATGTGATTGGAGAAGGCCAAAATCAACTGTCAATTAATCATATTCCCACTATTATAAGGAACAGTTTTCTGCGTACTAACCACCTTACTGGAAGTCTCCAAGTCAAAATTCCTACTTGGCTATTATGCAATCAGTGTGTTGTTTGAGCAGACAAGCAATACACCATAAAGTTCAATTAATCAAATCCTTAACACAGAGAGAGAGAGAGATATGTGTGTATGTTTTGATTCCTATTGATGTGCTTTGAAATACTTAACAAATTGTGCTACAACGGCTTTGGTTAAATAATTGTATATTATTGATGCATACATTATCGGGCACATGCACATGCATATCTGCTATCATTTCCAATCAAGGATTTTCATTAGTGGGGAGAAAAAAAAGAAAAACTATACCCTTCATTAATCATTTTCAAATTCCCCCACAAGGTGGGGTTGATACAAGAATATATTTTGCATGTGTGCCTATGTATAGCAAGTTTGGCGACAATTTGATTGAAAGGAGGAATGAAGCATCTTCATGTGTTGTGTGGCAACGAGGGACAGCAGCCAAAACTGAGGTCAAACAAGCCAAGTTGAGTGGAAGCAAGTCCTTCATACCCTCCTCTCACTATTCTCTGCACCTTCTGTGCCTCGTATGCCTTTGCCAGCTGCAACATAAAACAATCAAAATATTAATACAAGTACTGGTTACACTTTATGAATAGATGCATGCAAATTATATATTCATTGTTGACACTATTCGGTGCATGTGTGTGTGTGTAAATCAGGATCATATTCAAGTGTTCGAACCTTCAAAGTATAGAAAATGTTTGTGCTTTCTAACAACTACTCAAAGATCAAAATTTTATTTCGGTTCATCATTTTAATGAGCTCAGAAATGAAAAAAAAAATTGAAAACATGATAGAAACTGATTTTTTTTTGAATTTTGATGGCAAAACTTTCCAATACACACCATTTTCTATTCACTTTTTAGTTTCAACCTAAATGTTTCCATTTGGTGGAAGCAATACGAAATTTGGCACGTGCATCTGATACCAAGATTCTCACTCACAATTGAGTTCAATATAAGCCAAAAGTACATAGAGAAATTAGGCTTTTTGTTGGGCAGCTCCCATGAAAAATGTGGTTGTTTTGCAAAGGTTCTAGCAAATAGCAAGTACCTGCAATGTTTCTATTGCATCTCTCTCCGAATTGAAGCCATAAAAATTGCTTGCTGCAGTAAGTTTCATAGAAAGAAACTGAACGAAAAAGCACAGAATGAGTTTAGCTTTTGATTTGATAACCAATTTTAAATGGAAAAATTTGATATGCTGATTTCGATTCACCTCAACTTGATTTTGCAAGGAATGGACATAATTAATAATCTCATCCAACATTACTGCCATGCCCATAGTCTGAAATTTGGTTACCCAAGTCATGAACATTAGAACCCTGATTTTTATTGTCCATGTAACTGATATCATCTTATTAAGCAAAACTGACAGAGTGAGAAAAAATTAATTCACCTTGTAGCAACCTGGAACAATATCTTTCAAGCACCTAAGTCTCTCATTAATTTTTCCCCTTCTAACCTGAACAAACAGCAAATAAATTCAGTAAATTGATCATAATTTCTAAAAAAAAAAAAATCGAAAAGGAGAGAGACAAATATTGATTATAATCAGGTTGAGAACACTGCAATGCATTAAAGTTAATTACCCTTTCAGCTAAACTGTGACTATTAGTGGCTTGGCCTCTTCTGGCTCTCACATATACGGCTTCTTTTGGTTTGTTCTCTTCCTTCTCATTGCTTTTCATTTTCTTTCCTCTACCTGAACTCTGCTCAAGTACAACAAATGAAACAAATTATATAACTCCACATCATATTAAAACATATTCATAAACCAAAAATAAAAGATCATAAGCAAATTCAAACAATATCTCTTACATTTTGCCTTGTAATTCCATTCTCCGAAGCTGGAGGAGTAGAGTATCCAGAACTACTTTCTGATGCATCTATAGCTTTTCTCTTCTTGCTCTCTTGAAAATCACCTCCAGAGACAAAGTGACCAGAAACAGGTATGTCATTTTTGTCATCATGATGGAAAATGCATGGGAAATTTTCTTCTAAGTTTCCTGAGAAATCGGATAATTGTTTGGTAAAGAGATTGTCATTGGAAAAACTCATGAAGCTCTGGAAACTTAAGTTTGAGCTCTCTATAACAATTTGGTTTAGCTCTGGAAACTGGTTGATAAGTCCCATGCTTGGATCAGCATCTAGGAAAGATATTGAAGGTTCAAAGCTCTGCAAATTTGATGTGAAGTCAGCCATGGAACTTGGTATTATGAATCTTCTTGGTCAGCTAAATGTATGTCTTGTTAATCAGCTTGAGACTGCTAGTCATTTATATATAGAGTAGGAATACAATGTTGAGTTTGGGTAGATTGTTTTTAATTGAACAATGAAAACAAAGCACCATTTTAAGGGGACCACATGGCAACTCAAGCTTCTATGGTTGTGCTCCCTATTGGGACCCATATTCGGGAGGTATATCCAATAAGGTGGGCCCATATTAGCCATTGGCTTTTAGTTCAATTAAAATAAAGGAAAAAGGTTTGAGCTAACCTGGAAATTTTGATTACTTATTTTCCAAGTTCAGGGAAGCTTTGGAAAGCCTTCGGGAATGACATTATCCCTGTAAGTAAGCCCTAGTTGGTGAGCTGTTCTTTTACACTATCCACTAGTGGCTAATGATTTGACTTACAATATTAAATTAGTTAGGTGCTGAATATATATTTTGTGCATTCTAATCAAATATCGGAATTTTGATGTATAACATGTATTAAAATTAGGCTCCTAAAAAATAATCGTGGTGAAATGATGCCTATCATCACATATACTTGATTTATGAAGACAACTAACGCTCTTACTGCAACGCTCAATGGTGATACTAATCAATAATAAAATTCTAAATAGAAAATGTGAATCTCACTTGGACTTACATGACAGAAGGGTGAGTAGTTATTTGGTTACATGACAGGTTAGTTATGAATTTTTGTGGGGTTCATCTGCTTATTTGTTTTAGTATTTATTGGCTAGTGATACTGCATCACCTTAACACGAAGTATCACCGTTGTAATGAATATTTTCTCCATTATAGATTGCTAGCATTAGCCTGATTTATGGGAGATGGTGCATTTTTTCTTCTTCTTTTTTTATTTTTTTATTATTTAATCATTGTTGGAAATGCCAGGGTAAAGGGAAAATGAAACTAATTAGGGAAAATCATAAACAGGCTGGGAGTGTATGTCAATGTCTTTCATACTTTGTTGAAAATACCACATTTAGGCAAATTCATGTCCGACTTTGAAGAAAATTTGTTGACTCTGATCAGAGTTGGAGTTGGAGTCGGAGTATGCAATCCATTCCTAAAAAAATTCAACTTTGATTATGACTTTTATTAATTAATAATTTTATATAAATTATAAATTACATAATATATTATTATAAATCCAAAATATTAAGTCCAACCCACCAAAATCCTTAAGCCCAGGCCCAAAGCCCAACTATAAATAAACATTACCCCTACTGCACCGAATCACCTCCCTACCCCTTTTCTCTCTCTCTCTCTCTCTCTCTCACTCACTCACTCACAGATGACACGCACCAATAATGGCAACCTTCCATCTCCCCTCCCTCTCTCTCTCTCTCTTTCTTAGTCAAGAACGACGATCATCTCCTCCATCTCTCTCCCTCTTTCTTAGTCAAGAACGACAATTATTCCCTCCATATCTCTCCCTCTTACATCTTGAGTCGAAAGCAGAATTTTAATAGTTTGGAGTCAAATTTGGAGGAAAAAATGCACTCCGACTAAAGTCAGAGGTTGGATATGTGCTAACTCGGTCGAAGTCGATGCCAAGCCCTAGTTGTGGGTTTCTCCGGGGGTGATTTCATTGATGGTAAAAGTTGGGTTTCTCTCTTAACGCCTTAACTTTTTTACATCAATGAACTTTTTGATTACTGGGATTAGAATTATTTCGTGTTAGATTCACAGAAATACCATACTTTGAAAATCCACAAAAATAAACTAATGATATAGAAAGAAATGGACGTCAAAATCTTACACCAACAAGTTTTTTGAAACCAAACTCAATGAAATTTTTATTTTTTAAAACTATTTTTGAAAAAACAAAAGGTTTCATTTTCCCACTTAGTTTGTCGGTTAAATCAATGATTCTCTTCTTAAAGTAATAAAAATTTCTAGTTAGACTTATATCAATGCAATAAAAGAATCATCCCTTTTTATTTGTTTGTCAAATAGAAAGAAAATAAAAGTCCAAAAAGTCTTTCTTTACCACTTTTTTTTTTGGGAGGGGGGGGGGGGAGAGTTACATACAGCTAGGGGTGTCCATGGGCCGGGTTACCCACGGATCCCGTTATTCAGCTCGAAAAAAATAGGTCCGACAGTTGGTCCGTCCGAGCCCAATATCTTTAAAAAGAGGGCTTGAGTTTGTCCCCAAATTCATTATCCGGCCCGAAACCCAGCCCAAGAGCCTGCCGCCCGTCAAGCCCAGCCCAACCTACCCTTCCTTTGAAAAAGAGTTACACTTTTGGACTATTAAATTTAAAATTTTGAAATAAGTCTCTCAATATTGAAATTTGAAATTTTAAAAATTTAGATATTATAAATAATGTATTACTTTTTTCCATGTATTAAGTATATAAGTTTTAAATGGTAGAGTAATACAAATGACAAATAGGTTAGTAGATGTTAACCTAGTTGAAATTTATTCATTTTATTAGATGTAGTTTATTATTATATTTTTATCCATTTTGACTTTATTTTTGATTCAAAAATATAATTTACATAAGTATTAACTTACAAAAATATTCATTATTTTTAAATAAAAATATATAAAAAAAATCCCTCAAACAGGCCTGCTCAATAGGCTCATGGGTTGGACTGTGGGTAGCCTATCTTTACCCGAAGCCGGCCCGGCCCATCCCACTCCATAACTTACTTGGATAAGGGTTTGGGCTTTTACTACCTAGACCCAACCTAAAAAAATTTCATGGGCCTAGCCAGCCCCGGGCCATGGACACCCTCGCATACAACTGATGGAAGTGAGCATATTAATTTTGAATCATTTGCATATATTAAAACTCACGTGCATTCATAATAGGTGATAGTTAAAATAATTGAAAGTAGGTGGAGATGGGCAAATAAAGATAACAATTTGACTAATTAAATTTGTAGTTAAAATTAGACAGAGAAGCTGGAATAGCTCAGTTGGCTAGAGCGTGTGGCTGTTAACCACAAGGTCGGAGGTTCAAGCCCTCCTTCTAGCGTTTTCTCACTTTGTATTTAATAAGTCTGTCTTTTTTCAATAATATTATTTAAAATTAATTTACTAATTAGAACTACCTAATTACAGTTATTAGATCGATAATAAATTTATTAAATAATAAGATATATTGTTAATTTAAAGATATAGATTAACTAGCAATTATTCGTGTCTGAACGTTGAATGCAACAAATAAACAAAAATTGCCAGCAAATACTCTTCAATAAGGTATTGTATAGCACAAAAAAATTATCAATTAGATGTCTGTATAATTAGATTGATAAGCAACTAATTCATTACCTTCAATTCTCACCTCTACATTTTTTTGAACTCAAACAAGAAAATGAATTTGATTGATGAAGACACTTCATTACCGCAAATAACTCAATTTTAGAGGAATCTATATTGTCTTCGTTAAGAAATTAAACATAATTTTTTTTTTCCTAAAATGATTTATAAATAAAAATGCACCAAATATAAACAAGAAGAATTTCACCAAAACATGTCCGAAAAATTTTGCGAAACATGCTAGTTAGCAATCTGGCCAGACAAAGATGGAAAATATTGCATAATTTATTATCAACTCAATTTTGACATAATTATAGGTATCTCGGATATTTTAAATTTGATTCCATCAAAGATCGATCAAAATACATATTCAATAAACCTGTTTATCATGGGTGGGGATCTTTTTTCGCTTTATTAAACTCTCAATCCCTGTTATATTTATCCTATTAACGGCTAAGCTTACACCATTCTATACATACCCTCATTAATGATTCACCTTATTTCTCTTGAAAAAAAAATACGTTGATTTCTCTTGAAAAAAAAAAAAGTAAGTTAAGTTTGTATATTTATGTATACTAGCTGCAAGATGCGGAATAATTAAACTATATTTTAATCATAACTAAATTTAATTATTTATTTATTTTATAAATTTTTGAATACCTAATTTGACATTTATTTAAATATCCCTCTTACCCTTCAAACATTTGTACATCTAATTATATTATAGAATTATTAATTTTTATTATTATAATTGATTAGATTGTTTATAATCTATATAATAAATTACAATACAATTCAAATTTTAAAAGATAAATAAATATGTTCTATTTTTCGCAATTTAAATCTCTTTAAATTTTACTTTAAAATTAATTCGACAGTTAATATTAACTCTTCAAATTTAATATAAAAAATAAGTCTTTAAAAGTATATTTGAGATGACTTTTTAAAAGTGTTCCTAGGATTTTTAATTTTTTATAAATAACTTTTTTTAAAAAAATAGTGTTTAAAACTACCCCAACATCACCACCCCCACCACCATCACCATTATCACTACCACCACCACCTCTGCCACAATAACCACCATCGACATCGCCGCCCCACAACCACCAGCTCACTCATCGCCTCACAACAACCATCACCACTATCACTGCCTCCCACCCCACCTTCATTGTCGCTACCCCACCACCATCTCTGCCGGAACAACCACCACTACTGCCACTGCCCCCTACTGCCACCCCACCTCCACCACCCCCTTTACAGTCCCACCATCACCATCACTATTACCACCTTCACCTCTACCCCCACCACCATCTTACCACCGTCCTATTATCACCCCCGACACCCCCTCTACTGTCACCTTTGTCATTCCACCATCGCCACTACCCACCACCACCACTGTTCACTCCCAAGTGTTTAAATTTTTTATTTTATTTTGTGTTTGTAATTTAATTTTAGATATTTATAATAATTTTTTAAAATTTTTTTAAAACTTATAACTTCTCACACGAGCATGTTGAAAAAAAAAAATAGTATTTGTTGAGAAGAGTCTTCGTCAAGATTAACAATAGGAAAATGATTTTCATCTGTTGAAACCTCATCAAGGTCAATAATATCCTACCTATGGGATGAGCTGACCCTTGCTTTGGCAGAACCACCAAACATGGCAGAAATAGAGGACGAAGTAGCAGACATATTTTC